CTCCCTCCCCCTCTTCCTTTCTTCTTCCCTCCCTCCCTTCCTTCCTCCCTCCTTTCCTTCCTTCCTTCCTCCCTCCCTCTCTCCCTTGCTTCCTTCCTCCCTCCCCCTTCCTTTCTTCCTCCCTCCCTTCCTTCTTTCCTCCCTCCCTTCCTTCCTTCCATCCTTCCTCCCTCCCTCCCTTCCTTTCTTCCTCCCTCCCTCCCATCCTTCCTTTCTTCCTTCCTTCCTTCCTCCCTCCCTCCTTCCTTCCCTCCCTTGCTTTCATCCTCCCTCCCTTCCATCCTTTCTCTCTTCCTCCCTCCCTCTTTCCCTCTCTTCCTCCCTCCCTCCCTTCCTTCCTCCCTCCTTTCCTTCCTTCCGTCTTTCCTCCCTTCTTCCCTCCCTTCCTTCCTTCCATCCCCCCTCCCCCTCTTCCTTTCTTCCTTCCTCCCTCCCTCCCTTCCTCCCTCCTTCCATCCCTTCCACCTTCCCTTGTTGTAGTTGTAGTTAACTGCCTGTAAGTCACCTCTGACTCATGGGGACCCCGTGCACAATGGAAGCAAATGCTGCTCAGTCCTGCTTATCCCGTAATTGGACCGTGTGATCCACAGGGTTTTCACTGGATGATTTTCGTAAGTAGTTCATCAGGCCTTTCTTCCTAGTCCATCTTAGACTGGTAGCTCCGCTGAAACTTGTTCGGTGTCGTAGCAATTCACAAGCCTCCACTGACAGACAGGTGGTGCCTGCACATGAAGTGCATTGGCTGAGAATCAATCCCCAGGCTCCTGAATGGAAGGCAAGAATTCTACCACGGAACCATCACTGCCCCAAGCCTTAGGCACAGGAAACAATAAGCGCAGCAATAAACATAAAATTATAATAGTGGGGCTAGTACAATGCGGTATGTGGGCGGAAATCATGCAAGTGGCTATGGGAACACTCGAGAATGACACCTAACATGAACACGGGACATCTCATCAGGAAAGAAGGGACAGAAGAGACCCAAAAGATGAATAACGATCATGTTACATGACAGGTGGATGCGGGAAGAATGTCTGCGTCCCTGGGGCTTCAGAGACCTGAGCCCAGTCGAGGATATGAATTTGTAATTGATCGGGCAGTATTTCACTGTTATTGAAAACTCATAAAAGTGGATGAGAACCCAAAGAGAGAGCTCTTTAGAGTGAAACAAGAAGCCTAGAACAAATCTGTAGAAAATCTGAATGGAGGGGACTGCCAGAGAATGGTGAGGGGAGGCGGGAAAATGCCTTGGTACCTAAGAGGCATCATGGCAGACCCTTGGCCTTGCCATTCAGGTGAGCAGAGACTCTGACAGTAGTCCCCTGCCCCCAGTCTAGAAATGGGAAAAAGAACTTTAAAGTCAAGAAAATGCATATGCCAAGCCAGAAAACCTTGAAAGTGTATGATTTTTAAAGGAATAATGACTATATCATCGTAAATCAAGTGTAAAATAATGAAACTGAAAAAGAAAGATTGCATCTAACAGACACTATATGCCAAGACAAACACCTTGGACATTATTCTCAATACAAGCAGGGTAGTGAAAATACAAATGAAAAAGAAAAGATAATAACTTTCACTTTCCGTAACAAACCATATCGTATTAAATTACCATCACCAATAAAAGTGCAAAGTGCTATGCTTAAAAAATTACTCGTATTAATGATAAAAATAAAGACAACGCAGAACCACTACTGTTAAAGGGGATACCCTGCACCAAACATGAAAAGATGCTCAGCATCATTAGCCATCAGAGAGATGCAAATCAAAACCACAGTGAGATATCATTTCACTCCCACTAAAATAGCTAAGATTAAAAAAAAGAAAATAACAAATGTTGGCAAGGATGAGGGGAAATTGGAACCTTTAGCTGTTGCTGGTGGGAATGCAAAATGGTACAGCCATTGTGGAAAACAATGTGTTGGTTCTTCAAAACACTAAACATAGAACTACCATGTGACCCAGCAATTCCACTCCCAGGTGTATACCCAGAAGACCTGAAAGCAGAGACACTGATGTTCACTGCAGCACTACTCACATAGTCAAAAGGTGGAAACAACCTAAATGTCCATCAATAGATTAATGGATAAACAAAATGTGGTACATACATATAATGGATTACTACTCAGCCAGTAAGAGAAATGAAGTCTTGATACATGCTACAGTATGGATGGAGCTGGAAGACTCCATCCATACTAAGTGAAATAAGTCAATCATAAAAGGACAAATATCATATGTCCTCAATTATAGTAAAAGAAAAGACAAATGTATAGAGAAGAAAGTTTATTAGTGGTTACCAGGGGCAGGAGGGAGGAGGAAAGGGGGAGTTAACCGTGATGGAAATATCACTTTGATTAAAGGAAGGGTTGCACAGCCAATTATTGTAATTACTGTCAATAAGTTGTACACCTGTAGAAAGTTGAACTGGCAAAAGTTGTGTGATAGACATTGTCATGGATTGAATTACGTCCCCCGAAAAATGTGTGTATCAATTTGGCTGGGCCATGATTCCCAATATTGTGTGGTTGTCCTCCATTTTGTGATTGTAATTTTATGTTAAAGAGGATTAGGATGGGATTGTAACACCGTTACTAAGGTCATATCCCTGATCCAATGTAAGGGGAGTTTCCCTGGGGTGTGGCCTGCACCACCTTTTATCTTACAAGAGATAAAAGGAAACGGAAGCAAGCAGAGAGTTGGGGACCTCATACTACCAAGAAAGCAGCACCAGGAGCAGAGCATGTCCTTTGGACCTGAGGTTCCTACACTGAGATGCTCCCAGACCAAGAGAATACTGATCACAAGGACCTTCCTCCAGAGCCAACGGAGAGAGAAAGCCTTCCCCTGGAGCTGACACCCTGAATTTGGACTTGTAGCCTACTGGACTGTAAGAAAATAAATTTCTCTTTGTTAACACCATCCTCTTGTGGTATTTCTGTTATAGCAGCACTAGACGACTAAGACAGACATATTTACAAAAATGACAAAGAAAAAAGAGTAGCTACTGAGGCTGAGTATGTACAACCAAAATCCTCATGGGATTTGGTTCCTTAGTTTGGAGGTTTAGGGTCATTGTTTCATGGGACTTCCCTGTTAATTAGACTAATAAACTTGTTTAGTGTTTCTGTTTTACCTCCTAGTTCATCGCGTAGTGCCTGGGGTCTTAAATGTTTGCATGCAGCCAGCCAAGGCACAAGGATTGGTCTCTATTTGCCTGGACCAGCAGAGAAAGGAGTGACAGGAATAGAGGGAGGATATGGAACATGTCGCTAATTGCCACTGTGAACAACTGCCTCCTTTGCCATGAGACCAGAAAAACTGGATGGTGCTCGGCTACCATTACTGAATATTTTCATCATAGACTCTATAGAAGAATCCTGATCAAAAGGGGGAAAAATCCAGAACAGAATTTTAAATTTTCATGGGCTCCAGACTTTCTGGAGCTATGGAAGCTGGCTGAACCTCTGAAACTACTACCCTGAGATAATTTTTAAACCTTAAACCAAAAATATTCCCTGAAGTCTTCTTAAAACCAAACAATAGTTTAGCTTAACCAGTAAAAAATGTCTGCCTTGAGCATTATGCTCTTTTAAGAACTGTCTATATAGGATCAAATTGACAATAGCAACTTGAAAGATTAGAAACGAACCTTAGGGGGCAGTGAGTTTATGTTAACAGGGGAGGTACAACTCTGAAAAGGAAGGTGATAATGGTTGGACAACTCAAAGACTGTAATCAATGTCACTAAATGGTACTCACAGAAACTGTTGAATTGGTGTATGTGTTTCCGTGTATATACTTAATAACAATAACAAAATAAATAAATAATTTTTTTAAAAAAAAGAGGAACATTGAGTTAGTTTTCAAATAGTGGTGATATAGTATCTGTCTGTATACTTATGTCGTATTGTGTCCAGACATGTTATCAGGAGGGACTAGTCCCTGGAGAAGGACATCATGCTTGGTAGAGGGTCAGCGAAAGAGAGGAAAACCCTCAACAAGATGGACTGACACAGTGGTTGCCTCAACGGGCTGAAGCGTAACAATGATTGTGAGTATGGTGCAGGACGGGGCAGTGTTTTGTTCTGTTGTACATAGGGTCACTATGAGTCAGAACCAACTCGACAGCACCTAATATGAGTCACAACATTGTGCCTGGCAGCTCATGTTTGCTGCACTTATGGTGCAAGCAGGTCCTGTGACAGCTGCACAGCCAACTGGTCTTTCTGGGGATCAGGCAGCAGCTTTGAACTTCCTGGTACTAAACCTTAACCCAAGAAACAGCAGTAATATCTCCTCATAAAGGAACATCAAGCTAATGGCATATCTCCATCAAAGAGCATGTTCTGCTTTGAAGTCAATAAACCTGAAGTTGTTTCCACAGTAATGGGAGAAGGAGAAGCTAATTTCATGGCATCAAAGAGAAACTCTAAATATCAGCATCTTAGCCATTGCAGCAGTGAGCACATTTACAGATCCAACAGACACAGGGGTGGAAGGAAATGACCAGAGGAAGGAAGAAAAGATGGTTGATAATAAAACAATACTTTCTATGTTTAATATTCCATGGGAACATAAACACTGGTAAGCAGAGGCAGGGTTAGAGAACTGAGTGAAAGCAGAACATGTCTACTTCCTTACAAAGACACCATGAAGCCAAGGATGAAAGTCATCCTTTAATCTGGGATGGGGTTGCATAGGCTTATCTTCAGAAACCCTTCATTGTCTGTACCGTTACCAAAGTAGAAATGATATAATTGTCATTCAACAACTCACTGTAGCCCACAGAGCCCATGCCCTCCCCCACCCCTGCTCTAACAGAACCCCTGAGCTCCTGCTTCCATGCTCTGTGTAAGCATTATCCCCTAGAAGCCCTTCCTAGCTCCTATGTGACCAACCTCGCCCATCACTTACTGAAGCAAAAGTTCCTCATCCAACCACAACTGACTGATGAGTCTGCTCCTCATGCTTAATTTTATGACTTCTCATAAAACACTTACTATATGCACATCCATATACTTCAATCCGCATCCCAATCCTGCCCTTAGGGTTCCAGGCTACAGGGAGGAAGCGCAGGAACCTGGCTTCCACGGGAGGCTGGAGTCTGTAGTGCACCACACTGTCGGCATTTGTGTTTCCTGGAAAACCCTGGGAGGAAATGGAGAGAAGGGATCAGCGTATCTGCCCAACATTGCCTTCGCATTGTCACCTCTCATGTCCATAAGCAATGCCTGGTTCACTTCGTCAATACGCAATATGCCTTCTTTAAAGAAACCTTGTCAATATTTAACAGAGATGTGACAACCTCTTCCCAGTTCAGGGATTAGTTACCATTGTCTAAATTGTCCTTATTTACAGGATAGTTTAAATGTCGCCGGCACCATTAAACTAGCTATAAAAGGCTTGCTTTTAGAAATTTGCTCATCCGCTAAGACATTTTTCCTAATCTCAGCATAGTCAAGACACTCACATGGAACCACACTGTTAAGAACAATTGAACACAATGATAACTTGCAAAAGATCTGCAATAAGAACTCTAGACTCTTGAATTTGAAAGCTAGCAGGGACCCGGAAAATCTCCTAGTTCAAAAACCTTAATCTGTAAATGCAAAACTGAAGTTTGGGCTGGCGAAGAGATTCTCTGGAGGTTGGATAGCTCATCCAGGACTGGATCCTAGGGTTCTGCGTTTCAGTCTCAAAGTACATTGCATGTTTTAGGCAGCTCCACATCAGCAGCATTCACGGGAGTCTGGGAACATACAACCCACCACATAACAGAGGGATGTGCCTTCATAGTCACAGGCACCTGGCTTTATGCTAGGAGGGGTCAGCATGACAGCAAAAGAAGTTGTTATAAATAATGTTTGACTCCTTTTTCATGGTTGGTGTGTGTGTTTTAATGTTAGTATCAGCCTATGGGGGAACCAAAAAAAAACGGGAGGATTGATGTTACAATATTTACACATTTATTATAGACACCTTACTAATGATTTCCACCATCCTTCCGTCAGTTCGTTGTACCAAGGTGGCCTGAGTGTTACTATGACACTGGAAGCTATGCCATTGAGACCAGCAGGCAACCCATGATGGACAGGTTTCAGTGGAGCTTCTAGACCAAGACGGACGAGGAAGAAAGACTGGAGATCTTCTTCTGAGAATTAGCCAATGAAAAACTTATGGATCACAATAGAACATTGTCTGACTTGCTTGCTTTGGCCACGTCATCGGGAGGCAGCAATCATTGGAGGAGGACATCATGTTTGGTGAAATTTGTTGTTGTTGTCAATTGCTGTCGACTATGACTCATGGCAACCCCATGTGTGCAGCGTAGAACTGCTCCATAGGGTTCTCAAGGCTGTGACCTTTCTGAAGCAGATCACCAGGCCTTTCTTCCAAGGCAGCTGGTGGATTCAAAGCACCAATCTTTTTGTAGTAGATGAGCACTTAACTATTTCCAACACCCGGAGGCTCCTACAGCTGCCTAATATTCCATTGTATGTATATGCCACATTATGTTTATTCCTTCATCTGTTGATGGACATTTCGGTTGTTTCCACCCATTTTCTACTGTGAAAACTGCTGCAAGAACACTGGTGTATAGGTTTCTCTTGAGTTACTGCCTTCACTTCTTCTGGGTATACACCTGGGATTGGGACTGCTGGATCATAAGGTAATTTTAGGTTCAACTTTTTGAGAAAACACCAAACTGTTTTCCACAGTGGCTGCACCATTTTATATTCTTCCCATCAACAGTGGAAGAGGGTTCCAGTTTTTCCACAAACTTGCCAGCACTTGTTTCTTTCTTTCTTTCCTTCTTCTTTTTTTTAGATCATTCTAAAGGGGGTGAGGTGATATCTCACTGTGGTTTTGATTTGCATCTCCTTAATGGCTACTGAGGTTGAGCATCTTTTCACGTGCCTGTTGGTCATTTGAATATCCTCTTTGGTGAACTGTCTGCTTAAGTACTTTACCCATTTTTTTACTGGGTTGTTTGTCTTTTTGTTAAGTGTGTCATTCTTAAGTCAAATCATGAATATATGTTCACTTGGCTTGTTCCCCTCTCAGGAGCTGAGCTGGCTTGAGCTTCAGAGGGACTTAGTATGTTCTGTCCGCCTTAACACAGGGTCCATCCAGAAATTTATGGCATTAAATCAGATCATTTTATTTTAATAATAGACTCTGAGATCCAAGGAAAGCTCCAAGATGAACAAGATTGAGGAAAAGGAAGATAAGAAATCAGAAAAAAAAGAAAGAAAGAAAGAAAGCAAGTCCATGGGACCTATGCAAAAAAGCAGTAACATAGCAGGCCTAAGATGGTGTCTCAGGCTGGGTTCTCTAGAGAAGCATAACTGGCAAAGCATATATATATAGAGAGGGATTTATATCAAGGAAACAGCTCATGCGATTGTAGAAGCTAGAATGGATCAGGGTAGAGGCCTCTCCCAATTTACACAGCCACAGAAGTTTGCGAGCCCAAGATTGGCAGGTCAGAGAGCAGGGATCCTGCTCACAGGCTGTGAAGGTCGATGAATCCCAAGATCGGCAGGCAAGACTGCAAGGTTTCTCCTGATTCACGTAGCTGCAGGGGCTGGCGAACCCAAGATCAGCAGGTCAGCGGGCAGGGCTCTGCTCACAGGCTGTGAAGATCCACGAATCCCAAGTTCAGCAGATAAGCTGACATCTCAAGTCCCGAGAACTGCAGGTGAGACAACAGGAGGCAGCCACAGGATCCAAAGCAAGCAAAAAGCCAGAATGTCTGCTTATATTCAGATGCAGGCCACACCCCCAAGGAAACTCCCTTTCATCTGATTGGCTACTCACAGCATATTCAATCATGGGAGTGATCACATATGAACACTGAGAATCGTGGCCCAGCCAAGTTGACACACAATCTTAACCATCACAGATAGCCATTCTCACAAAGTCCTGCTGGCAAGGTTGGCCCTTGGCTGATGTCAGGGAACTTGAATTTCAGTAGCATTCCCACCATTCCCAGAACTGAGAGGAGTAGCTCACTGTACCTAAACTGTGTGTACAAATGTGGTTTATATGAAACACCTGCTTTCCTGCTGTGAGTTTGGAACTTCAATACGTGCCGGACACTGAGTCTCTAAGGAGCTCCCTGGTAAACAAAATTTCACAGACTATTACAACTCACTGCTGAATGAATTAGTCACAGTTGGGTGACTCCATCGGGAGAGGACGCTAAAGCTTGTGCCTTGTTTCCTCGGGACTTCACACCACCTACCTTTTCCCTTTGCTAATTGTACTTTTTATCCTTTTGCTGTAATAAATCATAGCCATGAGCCTTCCTAGCAAATCATGGAACCTGAGGTTAGTCATGGGGACACCCAACATGGGACCAATCAAGTAGAACCACCAGAGGCAAAGAATCAAGAACTGAATCCAGCCTTGAGAGGTTCTCCATAGGACATCTGTTACCTCTGTGAGAATCACACTGAACTTGATCTTAGGTTGCATCACCTGAAACAAAGGGGCCGTTCCTACTTACAGATCTTTTCTTGCACATCTACATGTTTAAGTACCAGTCATATGTCACAGGGAATACACAACACAAACATGCTTATAACTTCTGAGAATTTTATCTGTAAAAGGGCAACTCTATGTGGATCTCTCAAGACTTTGTTCACTTGGCTAGTTCATTGCTTTTTGAGATTATTACTAAGCTTACAATGAAATATGCAGATGAATAAATGTATTAACATCTTTATTAACTATTAGGTTTTGGTAGACAAGTGTAGCCTATGTCTGGTAGGACTAACTCTTAGATAATACCAAAGCCTAAAAAAGGAAAAAACTAGAAAACATTAATATCTCACACTGTTAACCATCTTAAAATCTCCACTTCCTGGTAAATCATTCTAGACTCAGCCTAAACCAGAGTACCTGAAATGACTCAAAGATGATGTTTGGTGAAAACTTAGTAACTTCTAGGGGAAAGCGCATTGCTACTGAGCAATTAAACCTTACACCGAGAGTAATTCTTCCTCAAACCTAATTTTGAAAACTTCTGTATAGACATTTTTTTCTATCTTTACAGAGGATAATTGACTGTTTTAATTGGGGGAAACAATAAACAATCTAGCAGTCAAAAAAACCAAACCCATTGTCATCAAGTCAATTCTGACTCACAGCGAGCTTACGGGACAGAGTAGAACTACCCCATAGAGTTTCCAAGGAGCAGCTGGTGGAGTCAAACTGTGAATGTTTTGGTTAGCAGCCAATCTCTTAAACCACTGCACCACCAGGGCTACAATGTAGCAGTAGTGGGATGAAAAATTTTCCATTTGAATTTTTCTTTTCAAATTTGAATTTTAGATTTATCCTACACTATGTTTATTTTAAAAAATATGTTTACTATCACAGAATTTTTCTATCGTTTGTACAAAGAACACTTGCCATTTCTGAGTGGTAGCAGCAATTCTGCATTCAAAGAAAGTGTTTATTTAAATAGGAGTTAGCCAAATATGTTTTAAAATATGCCAAGATCAAATAGCTGTTTTTCAACTAATTGTGTACCTAAAGCTGTTTTGGTAGTTTTAGTACAAAATAGATACTTTTTTCTTGGCATATTAAATTCGAGTCAGCAATACTATTAAGCCAAAATGATTAAGGCCACATGATTTCCACTGTAAATTCAAAATTAACTCTTATAGAGGAAAAATTAAATGTCAAATAAGATAAAATAAACACATATTTGAAGAATAAGTTGGAATAAGTACTAAAAGCAAGTTGAAGACTTTATTTTAAATAACTGTTTTCTGCCACATATAATTGTCATTTCAATAGGAAAGGTAAAACGCTGTGTGCAGGCCAGAGCAGAAGTTGTTCTTGTTGTTACATGCTGTCTCGTCGATTTCAACTCACAGCAACCCCACCTGACAGGGTAGAACTGCTCCAGAGGGTTTTCTAAGCTCTGATCTTTACAGGAGCACATTGCCAGGCCTTTCTCCTGCAGAGCTGCTGGGTGGGTCTGAACCATCAATCTTTCAGCTGGCAGTGGAGCACTTAACAATTGCACTACCAGGGCTCCTTAGAGCACAGGTACTGGGAGACAATTATCCATGGGTTTCTCTTGTTCTCATGAGCAGAAGCACTAACTTCCCTTTGCTGCACAAGGTCTTTTC